TGACAACAATTATGCGTCGCTTAACATACGTCACGCACTCCGTTGCTCTTATTGGTTGTAGGTCTATCCAATTGAGTGCATTTTTTTTCCTGGTTCGTTCAAAACACGCCCCATAATCACAGCTCTATGGAGCAGCATCAGACTCATATTCTGACTAGAATTGAGTCAGACTACGTCAGGCTAACCTTACAGTAGAACGGCAGTCAAATTTCCCAATGGGATCAGCTTCATAGTCATGGTAGGCCACTTCTTTCATTTTATTTATTTTGCTCAGGCGACTCGTAAACCCACAGCCACCCAAATGTTGAAAAGGCAATATTATTGCTATTACTGTTAATATATAGTAGAAATTTTACACATTCAGTAATAAAATGTCACAGTATGGGGAGATGGTCATTTAAGAAGGGGGATGATTCTAGGATTTTTTTTTTTTTTTTTAAGAAGGGGGATGCCATCCCTCATCAACTCGAGTACTGAATAATACCCTGAAAGCTTGGAAACTGTACCTGCAGTGGAAGAGGGTTTTAAGCGTAAACAATCAACTTTCCAGAGATGTTCAGTAATGTAGATACTTTTTTAAAGGCATTTAATCATTTTTTTTTCAAAGAACTTAAAATGTATTTAAGTTCTTTTTTTCAATCCCTACATCCGAACTGGAGATCCCCCAACAGTCTGTCAACAGGAAGGGAAACCCTTTAAGCTCAACCAATGGCGTTGAAGGGAAGGTGACAACTAATTCCTGCCAAATGGAAACACACAAAATAAACAAGGAATGCAGCTGGGGATAATAATCACATATCACTGTCTGCTAAAGCTTCTCTGCAGAATTACAAATGCAGAAATAACCCCTTCAAGAGGAAGCAAAGGGGGTTCGGACTTAACTTCCTCACAGAGTCAGGGCCTCCCTATGTCTGAGCTGCCATTATGTCGCCACTGCAGATCAAAGCGGGTTTGCAGAACCCTTCGATGTGTCAGCGAGAGGATGTTAGCTCCATCATCTCAGCTTTAGGCTGTCATTCATCTGCCACAGACCGTCACGCTCACCCCCAGAAGTGTCTGTCTTAACAGCAGGAGGGTGGAGGGTAACATTCCAGCACATCCTGACCCTGTGGCCATGTCTGAACGTGAAGGAGTTCACAAATGTCTAAAGACCATCCTGTGTAGACTTTTCCCTTCTTAAAAACAAAAGCACATCTATATTTTAACTCCCATCTCTATGTCATCTATATTTTAATCTCCCATTTCTATACATTTTTGCATATCTCTTACCGCAGCAGTAAGCATAAATGTGGATTTTATGGATCTAGTAAATCAAACTTCTTACCTTTGTGAGCCAGCCTCTCACAGTGGGCTTTGCCCTCGTCTCCACAGTAGTGGGGCTGCTGGCCTGAACTCTCAGGATGTTTTGCAGAACTCTGATCCACTCCTCCAGCAGGTTGGGCGAGTCAGCTGTCAGGTAGAAGGTCTTCTTCTCTGTAATCAGCTGATGGGGAAATATAAATGTTTTGGATTTTTTTCTAAGATCGCAATCATCTCTCTGAAAACATTTCTCTGGGTTTTTCTGGTATGCAGCAGTTTAACTCTACTCAATTCCTGATTTTATCTCATCATATTTTTATTTTTTAGCTCTTCAGCACTATCTTCACAGATTCGCTTCTCATACTGTTAAATACCCTGCAGCAGCAGCAGTAATATTGCAGTCTATGAACACAGCATTTAAGGTCGAACATCAACTCACTTGAAAGGTCAGTGCTCCCTCCCCACGTACTATGCAGCACGACGAGTTCAGCTCAATCTGACCCTGAGGTTTTCTTATCACATCACTCTGAAAAACAAAAAAAAGCAGATCATAAACAGAAATGGCCAATCACAAGGCAGCATCAAGCTCTGGGCTGCATTTCTTCCACAGAGATGGGGCTGATGGAGGACAAATACCCTCAATAGTTCATGTTTCCAATGCATATAGCCCACTTCAATACATTAAGGGAGGGAGAAGATTTACAATTCATAACTAAAAAAGTACAGATACAATCTCCCTTTACTCTGATATACCTAAATAGAAATTTATGAGAGAACAAGCTGGGCTTGGATTTAAAACAGCATGCAAACCATGTGGAGATAGAGTGCATTGTATTTAATTATCCATAAATGGCAAGAGGATGGTGTATGTGCAAAGCTACCAAAGACCGCCGTCCACTTTAAGCTGGGCATACATTGATACCCACAGCATGATGCTGTCAAACCCATCTTTCAATGGTGGCGATGTTCTGGTGGAGGTGAATAGTTCTCCTCTTCTGTCATCTCCTACAAAACTTAGCAATTAGCAGACAGAGCTTCACATAAATCTCACTTTTCTTCGAGCAATTGCTTTTTTCTTACCACTCTTCCATGAAAGCCAGCCTTACAGGATGTCTGATTAAAAGTTCTTCTCTCTTTAAATTGTCTTTTTTTTGTAGTTGTGGATCTTTTCAACTCCGAAGTTACCATGGACCTTTTAGCTAACCTGACTCCGCCAGATAGATTTGCTCCGCATATCCATCTGGAAACCTTTCGTTGAAGTAATTTTGGGAAGGTGCGAAATCATGGTTAGCCGATTGGCCTATGTTGGTGATAGACGGGCCAAATAAACCAATCAGATCAACGAAGCGTATGACGTACTAACAGAGCGACGACGAAGAGGAGCCAATTGATAGATCAAACTCTTGCCGAAACCAGTCGGGAGAAGAGCAAAAACATCTTTTCCTCTGAGAAAAGCCTCCAGAGCAGTGTTTTGCTCTTCTTTCAGTGAAGAAATACTCTGTAATTCCAATAAAACTTGCTCGATAGCCACGCTAACGCTAGTTTAATCGGCTGAAGCCGCCATGTTCCTTAGACTGAACTGTCGCGCTTCTCGTTGCGTCACACCTCAACCCGCCTCAAAGCCAACGCTGATTGGACGTTCGTTTGGTGAACGGCTCCAAATTTTCTTTAACGGAGAGTCTCCAGACTGATCTGTGAGTGAAACCTCTAAAGCTCGCGAGATCACGATGGTCTCACGAGGCTACCTTTTAGCACAGGGGTGGGCAATTCCAGTTCCTGGGGGCCGGTATCCTGCAACTTTTAGATGTGCCTTGGGTTCAACGCACCTGAATCAAGTGCTCAGATAATTGGGAGGACTCTGCAGGAACCGACTGCATACTGAGGAGGTAACTCAGCCATTTGATTCAGGTGTGTTGGACCAAGGATGGATCTAAAAGTTGCAGGATACCGGCCCCCAGGAACTGGAATTGCCCACCCCTGTTTTAGCAGCTTCTTTGATAAATTCTCTGCTTACTCTGAATGCTAGTTTAAAGCCTGGCCTACACTGTGCAATATTTTCAATCGTTACATGCAGTTGCAGCTTAAACTGTATGACTAAACCAAAGGGTTTAAAAGTTCACAGCTCTCGATGCATGTTCTCACAATGTGCGGCTTCAATTCAATTCAACTCAGTTTATTTATATAGCGCCAAATTCACAACACGTCATCTTAAGGCACTTGACCCTCTGATGCGATCTTACGACAGCCGTTTGCAATTCAAACATGTTTGATTTTCTCCCGATCTTACGATTCCTGATCGGCAGGTGGTCGTGAGAGAGTAATGGCTACTCGTTAATCCCTGTGCTTCACAACGCAGGACGCACAATGAGGCTGAAACTTGGCTTGATCGAAACATTCGCCCCAAAAAGGCAAAAAAATTGTACAATACAAGGCCCTGTTTAAGCCTCCAGTCATGCGAGAATTTTTCAAAGAGCAGAGTTTCATCCTTGTTGTGTGTTGTGTAGTACAGAGGGGGTAAAGAGGGGTGAATAGCCTCTCACAATCACCTCCCTATCAGGAATCGTAAGGTCAGGAGAAAATCAAACATGTTTGAAATTCAGTCGACCATCGTAAGATGGCATCACAGTGTCGAGCCGCACATTGCGAGAGAGCTGTAATCTTTTAAACCTTGTGGTTTGTCATACATTTTGAGCTGTAGCTGCATGTAACGATTGAAACTATTGCATAGTGTCTGTCCGGCTTTAAACTAGCATTCAGAGTAAGCAGAGAATTAATCAAAGAAGCAGCTCAAAGGTCTATGGAAACTTTGGAGTTGAAAAGATCCACAACTAAAAAAAAAGACAATTTAAAGAGAGGAAAACCTTTAATCAAACACTCTGCAAGTCTGGCCTTAAAGGAAAAGTGCTAAGAAGACAACAATTGTTGGGGGAAAAGTGAGATTTTGCGAAAAGTTTTGTAGGAGATGACAGAAGAAAAGAACTATTCCCCTTCCACTAGAACTTCCCACCATGAAACATGGCTTTGGCAGCATCATGCTATGGGTATCAGAGGTAGACTGATACTTAGGCCAGCCGATATCTTTGGCCAATACTAGCACGTTTTTCTTGTAACAGCATTGGCCGATACAGCAGCCATGCTTTGAGATCTTATGGATTGCCTCATTGTTACTCGTCCATTTGCTATCTTCTCTTAATATTTTGCTTAATTTGCTAATATTTGTTTGTTTGTTTTTTAAATTCAGACTATTATATGATTGTTTAGCATTATGTCATTTTTGTCATGTAAATAGTAAGGGAAAAAAGCAATATTGGCTCCAACAATGTTGGCAGCACATATCAGGAATCTGTTAGATGATGGCAAAATAATCGGTATCGACAACGGCCTTAAAAACCTGTATCGGTTGATCAGATGTGGGTTATTTTGGAGTCATATTGCAAAAAGACTGCCAGAAACTTCATTTTCTAGCTGTGAAAATCAAGTTTAAATTTATCAGAAAAGATTTGCAACTATTGTACTCAACCTTAAGTCAATCATTTAAACAAATGCAATTAACATGTTTTAGATTTTTATTTTCAGCAAAACCTGCAAAAATATGTATCAGTTTGGTTTGTAGAGCTTCTTAGAGGGACAGCAGAGCCTTTTTCTGCAGTGTTTCGGAGGCAAAGAGAAACATCTGGATAATAGGAAGGAACTCACAGGAGATTTGTAGTAGAGGATCTCTCCGTTCCTCAGGACGAACCAGCGACGTTTCCAGGCTTTTACTTGACTACCCATTTTCAATAGGTAACCCGACTTCTCTAGCGTGTCCTTTAAAGACAGAAAGATACTGTTTCTCAACTCATCTGTCAAACCCAGCAGTAAATTAGCACTGCTAAAGTGGACTTACTGGTGGACTACTCTCACAGGAATAGGAGGAGGTGCGTTGGACTTTGTGTTCAGGTTCAGAGTAGTCGCTGTCCAGAGAGTAAGCATCAGGTGGGATCGCATAATCACTTTCAGAGCTGATGGAGGACATGGACACACCTGGGGAACAACAGAGACAGTATTTTGGCTGTGTAGTGCAAACATGTTGTGCTGTTTTTCTGGTACCAGAGCAGTGACAACTCTGTTTTGCTTTAAAGGTTGTTGGGTTTCTTACTTAGCCAGAAATTACTCAAACTGTTTTAAACGAATTAAAAGCAGAGGTGTAAATGTTTACTTTTTATGTAGGCAAACTCAAAGTCACTTTGAGCTTATTGGGCTGTAAGAACAGTTTGTATGAACAAAGCCATTCTTCAATCGTTCCTTCAAGAGATTTAGGAAAAAATGTCACATTCACCATTTTTTTGTTGTTCCTATTTCTAATCTCTCAGGTATGAACAAAGTTATCCTTACCTTTTTGCATAATCAGTCAGCTGTGATCCAAAACTAGTTTTTCACTGAATGACTACATTTGTAACTGTCCATTTTATTTATTTTCAGCCTTTTTTATTGTCATTACACTGTCACAAGAACAGAGCAATGAAATAACTTCCATGAATTTAACCTAGCCATTGTACGGCGCCTGGGAAGCAGTGTGGGGTTAAGGGTCTTTTTGCTCAGGGGCCCAGAGTGGCAGTCTGTGGGAGTGGGGCTTGAACTCAGAACCTCAGGATTTCAAGCTTTATGCCCTAATTTTGTAAGGAGAAAGAACAGTCAGAGATCAATCTGCTACTTGTTAGGAACCCAGTTTGTGTGAGTTGTGTTTTTGTTTGTTTTCCCTCTACCTGGTGCCGCCTGGTTCTCGTTTGCCTCCTCAAACACCTGCGGATGGTCACCTCATTACCGGAGGACTCTTAAGCTGCTGACTGCCACTACCTCGATGCCAGAGTGTTTGCCAGTTTTTGGCACTCTAGCCAAGCTGAGTTTTGCTGAGTCAAACTGAGTTTTTGTCTACCTGAGTTTTAACCTTGCTGTTTTTGTATTTGCCTCTAGGCGGGAAGTCATCCTGCAAACTGGATGCTTTGGACCTTCTCCCCCCTGGAAGGATTCTCTGAGCATATAACTGAGCTGAGGATTCAAGCTAGTGGTTTGGATCTACTTTCTGGATCTCTCTGAGCAGGGGATTCATCTCCACAAGAAACCTTCAAGTACCGCAGGAAAACTAAGTGGCAGTCAGCTCCTCCGTTCCTCAAGGAAAAACCCCAACCTAGGGTAAACCCTGTCCGCCCTCCAACGAGCAAGTCATTCACTGGAACAACCCACACCGACTGGATTCAACAAGAGACATCTTTTTCTGGAAACTCCCGTTTCGACAGTGTTCAGAGCAGCACGGGACTCCACTCAACCTACTCTCAATAAAACCTGTTAAACTTTTCCCCGGTCTCTCTGTTTGGTCGTCTGCATGTGGGTCAGAGCTTTAGATAAAATCACGACACTACTGAAATAACATCTGGAACAGAAAATGGATGGAAAGTTCAGCAAAGCTCTTCTAACGATGAGACTTTAACTTCATAGCAGCTCCTTGGCTTTGGTGTTACACTAAATGCTGAATGTTTGGGTCTGTCTGAATTCATCAAATTACAGATTCGCTGTTAACATTTTTATTTTTATGTTTATGCAATGGAGAGATGACAGACATGGTATGTCCGGAGATATATAGTAAATGTATGCAGGTGTTTATTGTTGTCGTGTTGGTTAATGGTGAACTCATAGTAAGCATTTACATCATAAGTTGTCCCTCTTGCCTCCATCAGTAGTTTTCATTGACTGTTTTTGGATCAAATGGTTTTTCTTTTTATATTATTTTAAGTTTTTTAATGCTATTTTTACTTCTGTAACAGCATAACAGCATTTACAGCTCTTGTAATTTATTCCTACTGCTTGGCTTTACTGGTCCTTTAGTTCTGCTGCTCAGATTACAGAGAAGCTCTTCTCAGTCACCAGAAGCTTGATCGTCAAAGTTTTTCCTTCCTCGTCCGCATTTCTCTAAAATGAACACCTTCTGACAAGCATGTGAAGTCGTAGCCTTCCCATTTATATGTAGCCTTATATGAAATTATGGGGGCACTGATTATGCAGATTTAATCTCAGACAGGTGGACTGCATCGGGTTCACGGGGATAATTTACTGAAATTTAGAATTTCTTTTTATTTGAGGTGCCGTGTTTGTAGGAGTCGACACAGGGGGAAAAAGTAAGAGAAATTCATGAAAGGTACACATTCACATTGTCCTCACCCCTCTTTACAGCCCGCGGGCTCCCAGGAACGCTGCCTTTCCTTTCTGGGCTCAGGATGGAGGTCCGCAAACTGGCCAAAGAGCTGCTGTCATCCTCTGAACCAGAGTCATCCTCCGGTAGAGGGACGCTACTGATCTGAGTGGCTTTCTGGGAAGAAAAAAAAAGCCTAAATTTAAAGGTTGCTCTCATAATGATAGCAATGATCTTTGTTAAACTATGGCTGCATTCAGATTAAAGTTTAAAATGCTCTGTACATTGTATGATATTGAGACACAAAAAGTGTTGGACTTACCCCTTTCAGTGTAGTGTAGACAGGAACATTGATGTTTTTATAAATGAGCTGTGTGAAAGGACCTGTAGCGGGATGCTGGGGTAGGGTGGAGCCTGAAACATTAAGGGTTTATTAGAAACTAAATTATACATTGGAAGGAACAAACCTGCAGCATTTGAGGCCCAACAGAGACTAGAAGGTAAAAACTGTGGCCACAAATTACACAGAAAGTTTGTAAGCCTCCTTCCTTTTTCTATGTTGCTGCTCGGAATCAAATCTGAAGAGGCAAAATGTTTCAGATGGCCTCCACAGATACCAACAGAATGAGCTACAAAGTCTCAAACCGACACTCTACAATGAGGGAGATGGGTCATAATTAGCTGTGGCTGCAAACTTTTTTTTTTCCATGTCAGAGCCCGATGAATAACAAATTTAATAATAGTATCTAGGCTTCATTTTTAACCACAAATAGGAACCTTGTTGCAGACGGACTCATAGTTTCTTTAGCGTAACAGAAACTGTCTGGAGAGTAACATTTTATAGCTATATTGGTGTAATGCAGTTGAACTCTAAGTAAAAACAGAAGACTTTCAGCTGCTTCCATTCGCTGAGGATTTACACAACCACTGCATGCAAAGTTGGCATGTTAAAGTAACAATAAAGGGGGAAAATAGAGCAGAAATTCAAGATCTACTGCTGCCAGAAATTACATTTATCAAATAAAAACCTTTATTGGAAAAGAGATTTGCCTCTGCAGTGAACCGCTGAGGACTTTAAATCTGATGGCAGTCTGCTGAATATGGGAATTTTTTTTTTACTGACAGGACAAATTGGCTTTTAAATCCTCACCTGAAAAACTCACATTTCAACTTGAGGCATTGCTTTGACTCTTTTGTTTTTATATATATTATCTTTCTATATAATATCTTCACCTTTAACACATTTGGGGGCGTCTGCTGTTCAATGTCCTTTAAAATATTTTATTCCCATTTTAACATGGAAAAAAGTGATCTTTATAAGTCTGAAAAAAATGACTTAGATTAATTTCAGAAATAAAAAACAAAAAAAAGGATGCACATTTAATCATATATGCCTTCCAAGCCAAAAAAATCTCTTCTTCTTTGACAAACTTTTGCTTTAGACTACAAAAAATATTTTGTGATGTGAACAGAGATAATAAAACTAAAACCTGTTATTTTTCCGTTTCTTATTTATTCGTTATTATTAGTGCTGCACCAAGACTGATACCAGTATGAGGCGGGGCCTCGATCCAGCACTAAAATGGTGGTATCGGTATCGGGGAGTACCAACAAATAGGGCACCGATACCATTTTGAGAGCCAAAAGTTTATTCAACTTTTGTCACCCATTCCAGGTAGACAATAAAAAGTTCTACTGGATTCACTTTGTATTAGATTTTTTCCTGCTTCACAAAGGTAGGCAGCAGCTTGACAAAGCCATGATGGCAATTATTTTACATCACAGTAGTATGCAGTTCTTCATAAATATAAACACACACACATCAATTTCAAACAGATGGTATCGGTATCGGCCAATACTGCACAGCCAGGTATTGGGTATTGGTATCGGTGCCAAAAAATGGCATCAGCGCAACACCAGGTGCGTATAAGAGCAGGTCATATCTTTAAACAATTTGCATCAGAGTGTATACATCCATGGCTAATCTGAAATTTTATTTCATCTAAATAAAATTAACAGGGAGCAGAATTTAATGTCCAGCTCTTATCTACTCACTAAAACCCCTATATCTAACCAAAGGAAAAGTGAAACTCAAAGGTTGGTGTACTAAGAAGAAAGATAACCTCTTACTAAAAAAATGTTACCTTTAAAAATTCTGGCTTGTCTTTAACCAAACCTTCAATCTAGAGGGGAATATTTTCACATCAGGTACAGCGTGGTCTTTAAATCAGCTGGAAGCGTGTTTAAGAGTTTGCAACCCTCAACGAAGAAAGGTCACAATATAACTAATACCTGCAGGAGGATAGTTTGTTTTATAAAGTCCTGACTTGTGATGCTTATGGTGACTATATTGACATTTGTATATCAAAAACCTAATGTAATCATTTTGCAATAGTAGAAGATGCAGGCCTACCTCAGTACCTGCACTCTCACAAAAAGAGAAATCATTTAACCCAGACAGTAACATTTTACTGCTGCTGATTAAAGAGCAGCTTTTCCGCCCTCTCATCTTTTTACCCCATCCATATTGTTGCTTTTCTTCTCTTCTTTTCTTAGTAAAGGAAAATCATAGGAGGCAGCTAAGGAAAAGCCTTTCTTGAAGAGAAGCAGACACCTGTGCAGGTGTGAGTAGCCCCAAGCAAGATGAAGGGACATCAAAGCATCAATGGCGGATCCAAACAGGCCACCCTCGCCATCACCGCAGCTTAGGCATCAGTTAAATGACAGGTCCCTTGGCAGTCCTGATTCACTTCCCAAACAGGTCACTTTGTCAGGGCCCTTATTGCATGGCCAGACAAGGAGCATAGAACTATGGCTTTGATTACCGTTAGAACACTAGTGTGGTAATGAATGAGAGGAAGCTGTCAGATACTCACCTCGTCCAGGGCCTCTGGCTACAGCCCCCGCCTCAGATACTCTCATTCCTGACTTTGCCACAGCATAGATCCGACTCTCCTGCAGGAAGCAACAATCAGAAAGACCAAAGCCTCAGTTTAAACATCATTTAAAATAACTGAAGATTTAATAAAAAAAAAACTATCTGACTACTTATCTCATCTTGAAAGAAAGAAAGAAAGAAAGAAAGAAAGAAAGAAAGAAAGAAAGAAAGAAAGAAAGAAAGAAAGAAACAAAGAAAGAAACAAAGGAAGAAAGAAAAAATTGAAAGAAAAGGGTTCAAAATTTGTGCACATATTTGGCTTTTGTCTTGTATAAAAGGTAACTTAAAAAACTTTTACCTGCCCATTTCAATTTTAACTTGTATTTTACGATATACACAAACAATATTTAACCTTGTTCATTATATGGCCATATAGCCATGGTCCTGAATGATATATTTACATATTTACTCTTAACTAATCCAATTAAACACACATTTTAATTGCTATTTTCATTAAACATTTAAGCATAATAGGGACATACAAAGAAAAAGTAGCAAAGGAGCAGCATAAAATTCTAACTAAGACTGTAACTTATTTTATACTTATTAAATTTAAGTCTTTGCAAAACTTTTGAAAACTGTTGGACTTGTATTTTATTTGTAAGTTTATCTTATGCATCTGATTTGGAAAAAGCTCCAGAAGGTTTAAGGTCTTGAAACTGTCTGTTTTAAATTTTTTATTTTTGGTAAGCTAACCAGAATTAACTAATACAGACCTACCATAAAACTTCCAACATCTTAAAGATTGAAAATATGGTTCTGTTGAAAAAAATATCTACCTAATTTATCCCAGACATCTGCTAACCATTTGGATGTATTTTCAAGAAAAGGAATGCTGTTTGGTAATGTTACAGGAGGTCAGGCAGCAGACAGTTCCTCCACCGCACAGAAGAGGAGCCATCATGATAAGGGAAGACTGTTCTTTCAAAGCAGCAGTGGACAAAACATTCCTGCCTTGGTTTTTTTTTTTTTTTTCTTCTATGGTTTTAAACTTTTGAACATCCAACAAACTGTCTGTTTCAGTTTAAATCTACTGCATTTGCCAATTGATTTCTTCTTTTTTGTCCATTTAAGCTTAAATTCAAACCTGGTTACAATACCGGGAAACAAAAAGTGATCCTTTTATTTAACCCCCTGGCCTGTACATTACGATAAGGTGTGTACTTCTGTTTAGTTTTAGATGCTTCTATAAGCTTGAGAAGTCAACCAATAAAACAGCTGTAGGTGGTTTTGTACCCATGAAGGGAAGCGATGCAAAGGAGGAGTTGGTGGCTTGATCAACTCCGGATCCAACTGCTCCAGCTCCTCTGCTAGTCCCACAAAGGAAACCCCATCCTGAGACGGCACCTCTGATTCTGTCCCCTCCACCACTCCGTCCATGCAGTCCAGAGGCCCATCATCAATATCAGTTTCTTCTACAAGCTGAGCGAACGGCGAAGTGCTGGTAGCAGAGCTCTTCAGCGTGGACGAGGCAGAGGACGGCGTCATGATGTCTATGTTGACGTTGAGCTGGTGCAGTCTGTCCAGGCTGGGCTGCGGCTGGCTGTAGTGCTTCTTCACCAGCTGGATGCTGTCTCTGGGGGTGAGCGGGGTTCGTACTTTTGGTAGCGTCATGCTGGTGCCCGAATGATGACCAAGAGACTGAGGAGTAATAGGAAAGGGGTTGTTGGTGGAGGGCGAGCGGGAGAGGAGGGGGCTTTTGGGTGCTACTGTCATGGTCAGCCCGGGAGAGCTCGGCCTGTGCGCCATCTCATACGCAGAGGATGAAGATGAAGAGGACGATGACGAGTGAAGACACTGAGAGCGGAACTTGCTGCTAAGCTCATCAGAAGAGTTGTCTCTGTCAGAGTCCCCTGCTTTGCTCTCCAGGCCCTCTATGAACTCTTGTCCACTCGTGGAGCCGCTCGGTCCATCCTTGATCCAGCTCTGAGCATCATAGGCTGTAAGGTTTCCAAGACAAACTTTTTTGTTCAGCAGTTCTGGAGACTTTTTCACATCTGTGGAGACAAAACAACCAATTATTACAAAATAAAGCTCTATAAAGTACCAGATTAGGCGTTTTTCTTTTTACATTACTGTAAATGCTCCAGACTGTCATATCTGCTCTTTCAAATACACTCTGGTCTTTATTTCTTTGTAAACTTGAAAGACGGTGGAGCTACAATGATTAATAAACACCTGAGCTTACTGGATGCTTAAACACTAGAAATGCGAACATGCAGCACAATGAAATTAGCATATATCATATAGATGTGGGACAACCAATAGAGAAATGATACCTTTAAGGACTGGAAGTTAACCAAAATGAAGTGCCTGGAAAATGTATTCAAGCTGCTTTAACTTCAATATATTTGGGAGAGTTTCATATAATAAACAGACATAAAGTGGTGTATAATAGAGAAGTGGAATAAAAATGACACTTTTTTATGTTTAAAATCATAATAGTGTAGCAAACATTTGTATTCAATCTCTCTTGGTGATTACTTAATGGAAATACCTTTTACTACCTTCCTTACACCTGAGCAGTAGACCTTTGCAGTTCCTCCAGTTACCAAATGTCTTTCTAAGATTAAGGAATGTGTAAACATCTAAAAGTTTAATTTTTTTGTGATGCAGAATATTAGTGGTGGAATGTAAAAAAGAATATCTATATTTTGTAAAAGAGGAGCAGCTTTTGCATCTAGCAGCCAGCATTTTCAAACTTTCTGCTTCTTATGATGAAATATATCAAGGTCAAAGTTGTTCACCTGGCAGGCTCTTGATAGAGGCAGGCCCACGCAGACCAGGCTGCCTCCAGCAGTCCTCCTGGGCGGGAGGCGTGCTGGGGCAACTGGGAGGAAAGAGCGGACTGTTGGGTACCAGGTGGGCATCTACAACAGGAGACATAGCAGGAGATCCAGAGGATGCAGGTTTCTCTAAAAGAGCTGCAAAACAAACAAATAAAAGCAGCACAAAAGCTCTGAATAACAGCTTTAAACAACTCGGAATATACTTTTGTTAATATCCAATTAAGTAAAAAAAAAAAAAAATCTTTCTGTCCTGAATGATATCCCATTCCCAGTTAAGGCTACCAGTTAACATCAGTCTAGCAGCATAATAGAGGGCCCATCAGCCTAAACACAGACAAGAGCAGGATTACAGGACAGCCCTGGTACAGAGATGAAGAGATGGCTTCTTCGCTCTCCTTAACTATAGGTATACAAACCAAGCTTTTTGAAGAAGTAGAGATTGCACAGTTCATCAGACTATCAACACAGCCATTCATCATAAGAAGCATGTTTTGCAGCAGTTTAAACACCAAGTATCGCACTACAGGCTTAGAACTGGCACCAGTAGTTCACCATAGTGTTAGTTAGCCATGTGGTGCTACTGTCTGGAAGGTCTGCAGCCTGCTCCTTTGATCAGGAAAGGAAACGCAACAGCGTGGATGGACACAAGGGGGGAGTCATTATTCAACTGGTACTGAAAATTGACTTTTAAAGGATGTAAAATAAAATAAAAAATCAAGTGGGCAGGTATGGGAAGGAATAAGGGCTGAAAACATTTATTAGCGTATGATGAAGGGCAGGGGTCCTTCATGTTTTCAGTCCAGGACCCCCAGATTGATAAAAGGACAGAAGAAGGACCCTTTGCTACGACCGTGGGGGGTGGGCTGGTAGAGGGGACGTTTTTAGCAGTTGGTTGAGGGGAGCCAAAAAAGGTATTAACATCAGAGGTTTGAGGAGCTGACAATGAATATTTAACCCAAAGTGTTTTAGAACTAATTTCAATCTGAAAAAATACAAATAAATTATTTAAGAATAACTCAACAGTTATCAAAACTTTGTGTAAATTTTTTTTTTTTTCTTAAAGGTAACATACAGAAGTTTTGTGTTTTTTTGTGAAGAAATTCACAACCCTACTATAGTACCTCCAACACTCCCTAGGGGGTTGTGACCCCTGTGCTGCGAACTCTGATTTGGGGAAATAAAGTGGATGGGAATTTAGGGTTTGTAAAGCCGTGAAAAGGATTGCATTGTTTATAGTTTTGTGAAGTTTGATTCCAGACGATAAGCCAAAAACCTCCGACAAATTAGCAGCATCCAAATTCTGACACAATCTGTATGCCTCAAACTGACCAATCACTCCCAGAGATTGGTGGGGTGAATTTTAATTCCTAGGTAACAGTTACCTTTTCCGACAATTTCAGCTGTAAATACTTCTTTATTAGAGTTGCAATTCTAGTTACTGACATGCAAAATCCTTTGTGCTGGAACAGGAACAATAACATGAAAACAGGTGGTGGATGTATGTTGCTTAGAAGATGCTTTTCTTTAGGAGGAACAGAGAAGCTTGTCAGGTTTAATTAGATGCTGTATAGAGGTAACCAGGGAAACGCTTGGTAAAACCCTGTTAGAGGCTGCAGATGTCTCCAAACTACACAGTGGTTCAGACTCTAGTATACAATTCAATTCAATTCAGTTTATTTCTATAGCGCCAATTCACAACACATGTCATCTCAAGGCACTTTACAGTTAAACCAGATCATCCAGTCAGATTGATTCAAAGTTTCTATCTAAGGAAAACCTGTTGAATGCATCGACTCATTGACTCAAATACAATCCCTCACACTAAGCATGCTTGTAGCGACAGTGGAGAGGAAAAACTCCCTTTTAACAGGAAGAAACCTCCAGCAGAACCAGGCTCAGTGTGAGCGGCCATCTGCTTAGGCCGACTGGGGTTCAAGGAGACAGAAGCAGACATAGAAAAAGCAAACAGCCACAACTTCAGTAGGATGGTTTAAACTAATGCAGGCATGGATGATTAAGATGGGATGAAATGTTCAATAAAATGTGATCTCCTGTTGCTAATTTCCATCAATACTAGAGTCTCGAGATTGTCAGACACTAAGGTTTGAAAAGAAAGTTTTTTTATTATTTAAAATTAAAAACACGCTTTTTGCCAGATCCCTTTTTTCCCCTAATCCCAAAGTCTGAAGTGTGACATCACTCAGGGAGATTGGCTCGCCAATAAAGTAAATATGCATACTGAAACAGGTAGCGATAGCAATGAAAATACTGATGAATTTTGGTCAAGTTAGTGTATTTCAACAGAGGACAAACAGGTCCTACAGCTGCTGCTTTATATGATGGAACCTGATGCTTCGTTGGACGAGGATAATTTTTTGTCTTTTTTAAGGCGACTCAAAGAGCTTACTGCCTTCTTAAAACTAAAACACATTCTCTTTAGCTCCTGTCAGAAGAGAGCAGATCACCTGGTGTGATGTCATTTGGTTGCTAGGGTGGTTGCTATGGCACATTCTCGGATTTCATTTAATGATCTGATACATTTATTTTGCCGTTCGTGAATAATAACCATCGAGACTTTGCTGTGAAAAAAATGAAAGCTCCATTCATCTTTTTAACTAACTTCTGATCTTTAAAATCTCTTAGACCATATAATCTTTCAAAGAAAAAAATGAATAATAAAAAAACATTGAACACTATATAATATATATACATTTAAAGAACATTTAATATCACATATATCATGACTTCCTCAAAATAAACTTCTACTTAAAAAATTGCAGCAAAGCAGGAATAGATTTCAAAACATTTCCTTATTTCTTTTGTAGTCTAATTCAATAAGATGTACGTATTGCTGAAACAAAGTTTTCTAAGTGTGTAAATCTCATTTGCTACAGAAAAATACCTGCACTGCCTATTTCAGCTGAAAGATTGTAAATGCAACAAAAAATAATTACCAGCTTTAGGCATGTATATTATGACAGATATCAGTTCTTTTAACTCAAATGAAAATCCAGACGTGGATTTCTATTTTCTGTCAATAATCAGATGATCATGAACAGCAAAACTGAATAAAAATATGCTAAAGTTTTACTTAAAAAATATCAATTCTTCCTTACAGGCTATAGGCCCAGTTTTGTGCATACAGCCAGCATGACCAATTACAAGGTGATGATGATGATGATGATGATAGCAAGGGAAATCCAAATAAATCGAGGAGAACAGATGGGCAATGTATCAATGATTAAGGCCTGTTGTGAAAGTAAAATTCATCCAGCATGCTGATTTATGATTTATGATGATAAAGTGGATTCTTGAGCTGCAACAACTCAGTTCTACAGAACCAGCGTTATTAGCAAGTTTGTGCAGAGACGTGAAGAATTAAATTTTGGTCCCACTTTTCACATTAGTGTAAGGTTTCTAAAGATATTAGCTGATATTTTTCCTACCCTAGATCTATAAAGGTCTAGGAGCGAGGGAGCAAAAAATTGCATGAAACAGTATTTCATAAAAAGGTTTCACAAAAAAAAAAAAACGATCTCAGCTTATCGTAAAGCATCTTTTGGGACGACTCACATTGTAGTTTGTCTTGCAGCAGCACAATCTGCTCCGTCTGTTTTACATTTGCAAGTTTCAGTTGCTGGTTTTCCAGCTCCATCTGTAAAAGAGCAGAAGCATACGTTTGTACCATAAAAGGTAAGCCAGAGTAGTCAGGTCTATCTAAATAGACTAACTACTCTGTATTTAACAGGATGTATCTCCTTCTGCAGTAGATTCATCTGAACATGTCAGATCTTACCTCTCTGAGCTTAAATGTGACCCAGTCTTTAATCTTGGCAGCCTTCTCTTCAATAATCTTTGCCTCTTGGGCTCTTACTAACATCTGTAATACAAGGAATAGGCTTTGTGGGATTTGACTTATACTTTAAGCACACAAATAGACATTTTTATCTTTAGCTTCCAGCCATACCTGTTGCTCCAGCTGGATCTCTAATCTCTTGATTATAGCATCCTTCTCTTGAAGCTGACTGGTCAGGTCTTGATACTTTTTGTACAATGAGGTCTCCGTTTTATCAGTTTGCATATTTGCAGACTTCAGCTTCTCCTCCATGACCTGGATCTAAAATACAAAAGTGAAACAAACCAAAACATGTCGACTCACATCAATGTGATTCCTTTAGTTTTCATTGACTGCTGACAGCGCATTAACCAGCTCTGCTCAGGAAAGGTTTTTAAAGCCCTGAGGTGATTTAGGATTGTAAAGAATGGGTGTCATTAAATTACTACCTGCAGAAAACACCTGGAACAGGCTGAAATGATGGAAAATTGCCGATTAAAGGTGACAGCACAAGAGTGGGGGAAAGAGGGCTTGTGGGATCTGAATGAGGTTTCAAAACTCAGACTACTCTGCTTTTGATTTCATAGATCCAACCTTTAGGATCACTTCAAACCTCTACAGTGCTGGTTGTTTTCAACAAAGTGTCAGTTAACACTGCATAGAAGTAAAAGACTCTTCTATTAGATGTAAAATATTTATATTTATTGTCCTGGAAGTTGATGTCAGGGTTGCTGGAAAATCAATTCTGACTTTAGGAGATAGTTCTGGTTTTAAACGTAAAACTTTGACTTACCTGCACACATGGAAGGCTACAGCTTTCTTTTGAAAGCTGTCTGAATGAAATATTGGTGATAAACTTCAGCTGTAATGCAGCATGGTTATGCATTAAACACAAACCTCTTCAGATCTCTTCTCCACGCAGCTGTTTCCCACATGGAATCTGTTTTTTTTTTTTTCGAAACTGTACGCTCAAATTATGCTCCACAGTATTTTAGGACGATTACTCAGCACTAAGGTTCACAGCAGCACTCTGTTAACTCAGATTAGCGATCAAAATCTAAAGCAGTTTTTTTTTATAATCAGTTACATTTTGCTCATTGTAATTTTAGACATTAAAAGTCGATAGTGATACAGCTTTTAGTTCAAGCCAACTGGCACAAAGGTTAGAATAAGAAAATATTGCAAATGCTACATTTGTTAAGCTGAATAGTTGCTTTCATTTAATTGTTAACATTTTCTCCAATTGAAATTCCATCAACTGCATGTTGAAATTAGATTCGTTCTTCTTTTTTTTTT